AGTCCAACTTTGCTGTGGATAGGTTTGTACTCCTTTATCTACTTAGCTGTTTACTTCTACATTTTTAACATTACATTTACCCTGCTTAGTCACACACGCCCTAAATATCCACCCATAAGTGAAGGCTGAAAGGAATGCAACTAAGCTCACCCATCATCTCAACCATCTGGCAGCCCGAAAAACAACTTGATCAGTTCAACTACATAATTAGACCAAGAAATATCTGGACACTACTCTATGCCTTTACTCTCTGCGACGTGAATACTGCCTATATTATTCTGACAAAGCAAGCTGAGTTTGATGATCCCCTGGAGTTACCTTAATATAGTGTTTTCCGTATTTTTGCAACTCCCTAACTTGCTACTCGCAAACGGCACAAACGGTATTACTACAGTCCATTAAGTAAGATTGTGCATTATTCATCTGATTTTGCTTGGTGAATCTACTGTTTGATCCGCTTCATACTTCTTCCCCCCTCCCCATCAAACCGCCGCCATCATGGTACCATCAATCTGCACTGAAAACAATAAAATGAGAACGCCAGCGAACCGGTAGCAAATGGGGACAAAAGTCCCAAAGGAAAGTATTCACAAAAACATCCCTATTGTAACCCCGTACAAAGGAAAACCATTGAGAGCCTAGCCTTCCTGAACATGTTGCAGTGTACATACGATCCGTCCCTTTGTGGGTTCGGTTTCGTGGTACCACTAGAAATATACCTTATTATTATTATTAGCGGTCTACCCTATTACGGACTATATATGGATGATATGGATGATATATTTATATATATATATATTTTGCGTGACAGACAGTCACTGTTGCGCAGAGAAAATTTTCTCCCATTTTAATTCGGCGTACGCTAACGCCAAGTTCACCTTAGCATCTGAACACAATGGCACAATATCTTCCCTAGAAGTCCAAATTAGCAGAAGACCAGATGGATCGGCCCAGCGGAGGATGCATAGAAAGCAACGTGGAATGGACAATATCTACCTATTTCCAACGTTGTCCTGATAAATCAGAAACGAAACTTGTTTAACTGTCTAACCGAAAGGGCCAGAAGGATTGGTAGTGAGGAATCGCTTGCGGACGGGCTCAGTCTCTTAAGGATTTTTTGCGAGAAATGGCTATCCGAAAATTTTTGTTCAGAAAAATTTGGAGTACCGAGAACTGAGATCTCAACCAGCTTCATTCAACAAGTAACCGGTTTATTTGTTGTTGCCATTCAAGGGGGATGAAATAGCGCAGGCTACATCTAAGGGATTATCCGACACTATAAACCATACCTACGCAGCAAGCTTGTGGCTAAGCTTTACTTCGACATCCATCGTGAGGCTACAACTCAAAGACAGACTTCCTTGGTCGAGTACTTCTTACTGTGTATATTTCTTCCCTTGTTCATGTCAAGCAAGGTACATCGGAAGAACCATTAGGAGACTGTCTGAGAGAATACGCGAGCATTGCGCGGCTAGTCTACGCAGTGGTGGAAATAAAACTGTGATCAGCGCCGTGTTGGCACATTTGGTTAATTCTATGCACCAAATCGATACCTGCCAATCTTCTCAACCTATTTACCATGTACCTGGATGCCTTTAACGAGCGGTAAAATATCGCTAACTAGAAGCAGTTGTGGCAATCGGTATCCGCCAGCAGAATCTAGACTGATATGCTCAAAAACAATTTGTGCAGATCCTATGTTTACCGTGGCCCGCTATCACAATGACCCATGTTGAGGAACACACCGCTGAAAAGTCATCGACTACTTCTGAACCGATCACTTAACATTTTCATTCCGAGTTCCAGAGTTGACAAGCCTGAAGAGAAAAGTAAGTCCCTTCGACACTCTAGACGGCTGTGTTTTTCACCCAGTTTCAAGCACTTAGATCTGAGCTTAGTGTTATGGCTTTCACCAATTACCGGCATACGTGATTATGGCCACTCAATATTTGGTACACTCATATGAGATCGCCGGGCAGCATTCAGTAGCGTCCACTGCAAATTCCCCGTGACTTCAGCCTCTGCTGATAGGATAGATTGCGTAGACCATATAAGTAGTTCGTAGCGCTGCGTTGTCTTGTCTCTAGTACGGCCAGTTCACGCTTCAATCAAGATTGCCAAATTTGGATAGCATATTCAACGTGAAGGCGAACTTGGGAATAGTGCTTCATTGTGGAGATTGATGGGTCAAATCTCCCGCACGCCCATCGCAGCAGGCCGACGTGATGATTGTCCCTTTTCACGGCTGTCTCCAAATGTTTTGAACAGTTTGGGTCACTGTGTACGAGCACACCAAAGTTACGTTCCTGAGAGTTGCTCTGCAATCCGTGTGGTCCAAGCCAATACGTCGTGTTATGTCCATGGTGTAACTGAACAGCGCGACATGTGTCTGCATTAAATGTTAGGGCCTTCTAAGTTGACCATTTCGAAATCGTGTTAGAATCGCACTGGTGCTCAGCTTGGTCGTCGTGCCATCTGATCGCTCACTACATCACTTTATCAACCGCGAAGAATAGAAACTAAGAAATGATGGACCTCACCAGATCGTTAATGAATTTGTAGAATAGGCGAGAATATGGCACGGAGCTTTGTGGCACACAATACTCCACCTCAGTTGTGTCGGACAGGAATTCTCGCACTATCACCGCGAACAAATGTTCGGGCAGGATATGGCCTATCCAACACAGCAGTGTGTCACCAAGCCTATATATCATCATTCGTCATCATTTCACACGTCAGCTAGAGGTAAGAAACACTTCAACTGTTGTGCCGCAATACATAAATGTAAAAGGAAAATAAATACAAAAGTTGCATGACAGCTGAGCTACCAGCAACGGATAGGCATCGTTCCGGTAAGCTACCAGCCGGCTACTAGGCAAAAAGAAAAAATTATTATGTTTTCAGCTAAGAAATGAGATCATAGGTGGAGGGGGAGGCTAAAAGGGATGGGGAGGGACAAAGAAACTCACAGCACAAACGCCAATGTGGTCTGCTCCTTGTCATGTCAGCAAGTGTATCCAGCCAAACGTGTTCATCGTCTTTTGGACCCCAACCAGGGAGCCGAGACGCTCCAACCGAGGCCAGCTCCGAAGTGAGGGCCTTCATTCCTCTGGACCAAGTCATCGCTTGGCCACCTCTCCTCTTCTTCCACCCACATCGCCGGTGAGCAAACAACGCACGTCGCGGGAGTCGGTGGGCTGGCATGCGTAACACGTGGCCGAGCCATCGGAGCCTGGTGCGTGAAATGACGGTGCTGAGCGGTTCAGTTTCTTTTTCTTTGCCGTAAACAAGACGTCGAACACGCTCGTTACTCAAGCGTTGTTCCCAAATTTCTGACGATTATGGAAGAGAATTCCGTGGTCACCAATCAGGTAGATGACAATGACTACTGCTCCACCATCAACGGCTTTTGTCCAGCGATCGCGTGTAATGAATAAGTTAGTAGTACACGAGCAATTTCGGCGGAAGCCATGTTGTCGTGGGTCTATTAACTTGGGGTATTCCAGAAACTGCATCCGTGTATATGCGATGATTGATTCTCTAAGCTTGGAAAGCAAGAGAATCAGCGTTGTCGAAAGGTAATTGGCAGGCTCAGAGCGACTACCTCCCTTAAGAAAAGGAGTTATGGCATCTCGCTTCCAAGGTGGTGGAATTTGGTTCTCCTCTACACGGCGTTGATAGACATGAGCCAGAACTTCCGCCAGCATACTGGCTGTTGACTGCGGAGCGTTCGGCGTAATAAAACCTACCCTAAGAGAGATTTGGAAATGCAGGGACAACAAATTCGATGCAGCTTCTAAAGCAGAAGTGATGTTGGATAAACTTTGCGGTAGAGTAATATAAAGTAGACTGCAATTTGAGCTCATTAGAACGAATGGGGGTAATGAAAACATAGGAGATCGACTGCTTCCAATGCTGACCCCGTGCATCCATTAGCCGTGATTGGTACTGGAATTCCGCGCTTCGCCTTACGAAGGCCATTAACAAGCGGTTCGTGCAGAATCGGTTCATTAACTCCTGCTGATGCGTCACCTTGTTCTTTCGAGCAATTGAACGCTAACGTTACGATGTGTCAAGTATGCAGTCCAAGTTTCGGCATTCGGGCCATCCTTTTGAGCACACCATGCCAAATCCCTGAGAGACATACATTTACGTGTTCTGCTTCTCAGAAATGATGTGTTTCCGATGTAAGAACTTCTGTTCCGACGCATGCGTTACAAGTGGGTCAAACGTCTTCTGAAGTTTTCCCAAGTGACGCCTGGGGGTATTAGTTAAGTAGATTCAAGATTCATTCTTAACAAGCGTGGAAAGCAAGTTGCAGTGCGTGACAATATATATTTCATCGTCCTCTTCCCCGGAATAGTCAGCATAGCATATATGGTCAAACAATAAAGTACCGTGATTACTGCGACTCAATGGTGCGCTTGCAACTAATTGGTTGACCATGAGTTCGTTGGTGAGCACAAGATCAAATATCGGCGGTCTGTTGGGATTTCGAAACCTACTGAGAAAGGTTACCTGGTTGTAAGGATGGTAGCTAGAGACTGTTGGTAAAGCATACTAAGTCAACATTATTTGCTTATGAAGCGAAGTCACCATATCAGATCACTTCACTTAAAAGGTTTAACTGTCTCCATTGTATGACGGCTGAAGCATCTGTGAAATGAAAAAGAAGAGAATCCCCACTTTTATTGCGATATATTCTGGTTGTATCCAAGGTGTAATCTGCTGTGTACGTGCTTCTGAGTAAACCAGTGGTTTGGGACCGAGCATCTCTGATTTCTTAGAGCTGAATTGAAAAAGCCAAATAGGCTGTTCCTAATTCCAGTTACGTAGCCTAATGCTGATGCAGCTTTGCAGATAAACGCATAACAATATCTCATTAATCTTATCCAGCTAAGTTTGAATCGCACACCATAGTTCTGACTGTGTGTAGCAAAGGGGATCTGTTGTATCTTTTCCTGAGCGATCAAACGCTCGAGGTTGTTTTTACGTAGTCTGTTGGAACAAAAGCTTAGGTCACGTGTCATGTTATTGATTTCTACACTAGTTGAATTCTCATCTCCTGCTACTTTGTCTTTTACGCATGGTTCTCTACCATGAATGCAGGCAACCGAAATTTGACCGAAGACCAAATAGAAGAACTAAGGGAAGCTTTTGGTTTGTTCGATAAAGATCATGATGGACACATAACTTTGCAAGAGTTACGTTCGATGATGAAATTGTTCAACAGACCATGCACCGCAGATGAAGCTCGTGAAATTATGTCTCAAGTTGATAAAAACAACGATGGAGTGATTGACTTCCGGGAATTTGTGGAACTCATGAGTCCTGTAATGACCCCTGATCGCACGAGCGATTCGGATTTGAGGGCTGCATTTGACTTTTTTGACAAGGATCATGATGGAGACATAACTACTCGAGAGCTAAAAGCCGTTCTGCAAACTCTACACCTTAAGTTGACGGACAGCGAAATCGAGGAAATGATTACCGAAGCAGACACCGATAAAAATGGGACGGTTTCTTTCGAAGAATTCAAGTCGGTGATGAATAAACGAAGGAGGTAATATTGTGCCCAGTGTGTTTGCTTATTTTTACTTCCTATTCTATATCCACTGACCAGCGCGTTTGACAGTGGCAAATTTAACCAATTTCAGCTTCTTTTTGTTCATTTAGCTTTCGCTTCTACCTATAATTTCATGGCAAAACATCTGCTTTTCAACACACTGTATGCCACTTCTGTGATGGTTGCCGCTCTATTGGTTACAGTACCAACATTCTCTAACGATTGAAAGCATACAACTCATCTTCGAGATATTAACGTATTTATAATTGTGAGCTTGCGAGACTCACTGATCACGATAGCTTATGGGCTTACACAAAGTATTGCTGGCTTGCCGAACAATCTCTTCGTGTTGCTAGCTGGGTTCTTCGGGATTATCCAGTTCCAGCAAAGTGCTCTGAAGCAGTTTTTCAGGATGTGATGAGTTTTCGTTTGGCAAGCCTTCTCTCTATAAAAGCCACATACGTCCGTACAACAACACTGTGAAGTGGCGAATGTAACTCGTCACTAAGTAAAAGCACTCCCCCTTGCCTCTCTCAGCGTGACATTGTAATTCATGGTTGTATTGGGCCCTTAGTCCTTTGGAGGACCTGAAGGCGTATAAACCACTTGTTTGGTCATCGGCTCCCAACGGGTTGAGAAGCTCTCGTATCGCGCTGCTGCCTTGTAGGTTAGATCCCTGATCAAATGCTCAGAGTAGGGCCCCCTTAGACAACCCACTACTTCGGCCTGGGCAACCTGGTAGCATCACGCTCACTGACGAATCATGGATGGATTCTTCTGCTGCTACTTTGCTCCTGATGTCTACTGGCTCTACTGCCCCCAATGCTCAACCTCCACTCACAGATCTCCGGTTCCGTTCTCCAAATACGCTTACTCTTTCTACGATCCCCGCTAACAACAGCGCACCAATTGCATCTGATGAGAATTAGAGTCAAACTTTGTTTCCGATACCCTGCGATTACAGATTTCTCATATTCCACCGAGGCTGCAGCTATTCGTAGACCTGGTTCTCCATTCCGTCTGGTGGCATTCAATGTTCGCACTCTGCTGCAGAGCTGCCTTCGCAGTTTGACTTACATCTGGTGGGAACAACGCGTAAGCAACGAGCATGTTCCACGCCTCGTTTATGGTCCAGGAAAAAGAACTGAACCGCTCAACACCGCCTTTTCATGCAGCAGGCTCCGATGGTTCGGCAACGTGTTGCGCATGCCAGCCCACCGACTCCCTCGACGTGCGTTGTTTGCGTGCCGGGGGTGTGGATGGAAGAAGAAGAGGAGGGGTGGGCAAGCGATGACTTGGTCGAGAGGAATGAAGACCCTCACTTCGAAGCTGGCCTCGGTTGGAGCTTCACGGCTTCCTGGTTGGGGAACAAAAGGCGATGAACATGTATGGCTAGATACACTTGCTGACATGGCCAGGAGCCGACCTCAGTGGGGTTCCTGCTGTGAGTTGCTTTTTCCCCCCCAATCCTTTTAGTCTCCGCTCCAACCACGATCTCATTCCGTAGCATACTATAATTTTACAACATAACTTTTCTTGTTGCCTAGTAGCCGGCTGCTAGCTTTCCGGAACCATGCCCATCCGTTACTGGTAGCTCAGCTGGCATGCAGCTGTTGCATTTATTTTTTTATTTTATGTATTGCGGCACAGTAGCTGAGGTGTTTTACACCTCCAGCTAACGTGTATAAGGATGATGATAGTGATGCTGCAGATCGGATGGTAAGCTTGTCTGACCCGCACCTTTGAGATGCTCTCGATAGATATTTGCCGCCTTTCGTAAACTAGATTGCCTTACTCCACTACCGTCATCAAAGTGACTTCTCCGTCTAACCCTGAAGTCAAATACCATTTGCGTCTTTCCGGGGACCCAGTGGCTGCTGCTTCTGACTAAGCTCATGTTGGTGTTACACTGAGTGACAGGGATGAGACCACTCTGCTTGATTGGATTCCAGTCAATAGTAGAGAGTATGCGGTCAGACTACGACGTTCATGCAAGTTAAGTAAGCGTCGACATGCGAAGAGTGCTTTATTTGTCGTCGCCGCGTAGACTCCTACAGACTGCAGCCTGGATGTAATCGAGGACTGCTTTCATCAACAACTCCATGACCTCCTACATTCCTCCAAGTCTGATATTGACATTCTTGCCGGAGATTTTAACGTACGAGTGGTCCGCCTGCCACCATGCGAGCAACATTTTGGTGGTTGTTTTAGCCTCCATGGTAGTCAATCTAACGATCGAGACAGGCTGCTGACTCTTTGTTCTGATCTTCGTTCGTTTCTTTTGTGCACCGGTTTCCGTCACTCGAAGATGCAGACAGCTACCTGGCGCCATCTTTCTCAAACGCAAGAGTGGTCCCAGCTTGAACACATAACAATAAGCTACAGATGGCGCGAAAGCGTAACAGACTGCCGCTCGTACTGGTCAACTTGTCTAGACTCCGATGATGCATTGGTTCGTGATAAGGTTTGCATGCGTTTCGGAGGATCGCCTGGGTGTACGCACTACCGGCCGAACGTCGAAAATCTACAGTACCCTACGACGCTGTCCAAGTACCAAGCCTCTCTATCGACACTGCTTGCCTCAACTTCACGGGTTTCACGGGTTTCACGGGTTTGCGCAGAATGAGTAAGCGTAGCTTTTCGGTGGTTCTGCCTCGGGATCTTACGGCAAGGTCCTGGTCTCATCGGTAGGTACCAGATGTTGTGGGTCTCGACGCAGTAGTGGTGTTCAGCACAAGTATTCTGACGATGATTTGAATTCACAATGGGTGCACAACAAAGGTGGCCTAGTTACTGACAGCATTGATGGTTGTGGAGTTACTCGTCACCTGTTGGATCAATGCTGTCTCATTGTCACTGATTGACAGAGGTCGCTTGGTTCCGGCCGACACCAGCTGTGGTGAAGAAAGTCGATCCATGGATCGAGAAGGGAGCAAAAGTTTGCGAAGGGACCGTGAAGTCTGATGGTGTGAACGTTCTAGAGAGCTGGAACTTGCTAGTCTGGTAATAGCAGAAAACTCTTCCATCTCATCCGAGTCACCGAAGGGTTCCTGTGTGTATTATGCGAAACAATCTGTGAAGGGTATAGTTCACCGAGCACTAATCTTAAATGACGGTTGGAACGATGGGCGGAAAAGTTTGGTCCACAATTTTACCGGTCACTAGCTTCATTTGCTTCCTCTGGAGCGCGCACTGGTACTGAGTGGTCTGTCTTCACAGATTCCCCCTCTCACCAGGAAACCTGGCAGAAACTCCGCATACTGAGGCGTCATAAAGCACCCGGCCCTAATGGTATACTTCCTCCTTTCTTTAAAGATGGTGGCCATCCAGTGTTTCAATAAATCACCGTTTTGCTCCCAGATGTCTGGTCAAGAGAAGAGGTTCCATCGCCTTGGGGCGAGACGATTGTTGTCCCATTTTCTAAATGAGCATTCGCATAATGTGCTCCAACTACTGAGGTATAAGTATGCAAGCTGCTGGCATCCATCTTACATCTCAGCCCATCCCCATTGCGCGAATTGCTACAGGGAGATGAACAGGATGGATTCCGCCCTGACCGTAGCTGCATCGTCCAAATTTTCACACTTCGCAAGTTGCTCGAGCTTCGCCATGTGTAACAAAAGCCAAAAACTGCTTCTTTCCTCTATATCAGTGCTGCCTTCGATTCGGTCAACAGGACTGCATTGTAGCACTAGCTGTATTGGAATAGAGTCCCCGAGAACTTCGTTACTGTACTGTGTGCTATGTACAGTCTGACTTCGGGTAGAGCTCGGGCTTATGGTAATCTTCCGCCTTCCTTTGTTGTCACCAGTGCAGTTCGAATGAGATGCCCTATCTCTCAATTCCTTTTCCATTTCGCCATTGAGGATATCCTCAAATATGCTTTAGAAGACTCGTTAATCACTGGCTTTGTGCTCCTCTCAGGCCACCTAGTAGCTGAATTGGACTAAGCTGATGTTATCTTCTTGCTGAGTGATGGTTCGCCGGTAGTCCAGCTTGTCATCAACCACTTGGCGATTGAAGCGTCGAAGTTTGGCATTTACTTTTCATCGTCCACCTGCAACGTACGTTTAAAAACTGGCAGACGCCTTTACATCGTCTTATACTCGGTGACGAGACACTGGAGGTGGTGCAGAGTCTCCTCTACTAAGGAACTTCCGTCGCTGCTAGTAGAGCTGTTGGAGATGTGATTTCGATGTGTATCTCAAATGCTCGTCTTGCCTTCTGCAGACTGAGGAATTTGTGGCGCCGCCATGACATCCGTCTCTCCATCAAAGAGCGGGTCTATACTGCTGTATGGTTGCCAGACGTAGCATATTTGAACCGCTGTCCTGCACCGGCTGCCTGGCTTCAAGCCCCGTTACTTGCGGTCCATTGCCCGTGTGTGGTGGCTGCACCGCGTAAGCAATGCAGAATGTAGACAGTGCGTCTTGGGGTGTCGGAACCACTCGCTCGACGTGATTGTCTCATTGCGTCAAGCGCGGTGGCTTTGCCACGTGTTACTCATGCCCGCTCACGGTCTTCCGCGTCCCGCATATATATATATATATATATATATATATATATATATATATCGGCGAGAGAGCCTATGGTGCCCTGAGGCTGGTGGTGGCTAGATCCTGACACACACTCTACCCACTGCTGCTAGTGTTTTACCATGAGCTCATGTCCTGGACGCCTCCTCGTGGCGACCGCTAGGTGGGAGTTGGGTTACGCCCTTCTCCTTGCTAAGATCCAGGACACCAATCCGCATGAGTCAGTGAACTGACCATGTGTTAGACCCGCTACCTTTCGGGTGTACATTTAAGCGAAGGGTTAGGCTGAGGACCCGAGTTGTTCTCCTGTCAGGTGTGGGAGTCCTGCCAGTATCCTAGTCCATCCTCTTCGGAGGTTAGGAAGTGGTCGATAGCCCTCTTCCCGTAAAACCTAGCCGTGGGAGACAACAGGTCTACGGGTTTTAAGCTGACAGCTCGATTGGCATAGAGCACGAGCGCCACGCATTGTCTCTGACGGTGGGAGGGTACCTCCGAGTGTTCAATGGTTTGTTACTGCCTGCACCAAGCCAAGCAGCCCCTGGTCAAATTGGTGCAAACCCAACAAAACCCTCCTGCTTCTGACCGTGGTCGCAGGTGCATATTCTACTACGGTCGCAAACATATATAAATCGTTCCAGTATCTCAAAGGGTGTGTGTGTCCGCTGTCAATCAGATCCCAATGTGTCTCTGCAATCACATTCCCGAGCCGAATCTGCTACCCAATGCCTTGTGGATCAGGCTATTGAGCCAAAGTCCCCGGGCGGAGTCCTTCAACAAAACCTCCAAACCACACACTGCCTTGTGGGTCACACTGTTAAGCCAAAG